GGAAATCCATGGAAATCCAGTATCGAAAATCGATGTCGAAGCCAAGAATCTCCGAATACTTTGCCCACTCTTCTGGCCGTGCCGCCTTCAGTGCTTCCTCCTCTTCCGCGAGTTTCAAGGCCAACACCACGATCAATGCCACGGTAAACACGGCGCGGACAGGGCTCAAGGAAGCCATGACGGCAGCACCAGCGCACATGATCACGAAACCCGTGTAGGTCGGTGATCTCACCTGTGGCAACACGGCAAGTCTAAAATTAAATCCAGGTTGGTTCGAAAATGGGGTCTTGAGTCATCATAAATCCATCTCAACTTCATTTGGGCTTTGGGTTCACAATGCACTGATACTGAATTTGAGACCAACTCCAACTTGGTCCAATTCTGCAAACAGAGTATTCCCAGGCACTGCAGGGCAAAAGGCCAGTGATTCAGCGATTCTTGCGATTCTTGAAACTGATTCCTAGAAACGTCAAAGCCAAAAGTGCATGAAAGCCCAAACACACATTCTATTTCCATTCATTAACATTTACATTGAACAGCTTCCCAAACAGTGGGTTTACCCAAACACCTTTTTTGTTGTGACCCCAAAAAGCTTCCAACCCAGCCAGCCCACTCCAGGTCTCAACGTCCAAGGGGCCACACCAAATGGCCCGGTGGTTGCCAGTCGACCCTCCTCCATTGCCGCCGTCACCGTCACGATGGAGACTAAACCTCGGTGCCAACACATTCTTAGTCTATATAAGTTAATAATGGTTAATATCATCCAATTACTGTGATGAATGTGATTAATACATATTAATGCTGTACTGCTGTACTGTATCATTACTATTGTGTACACCTGGCATACTGCTATGATTTTTGGAACTAGTTCAAACTATTTCCATTCGAATCATTGAATATTGAAAAGGAACCCGAAGAGTTTCCACAACTCAAATGTCATTGATCAAAACAGAAAAAATCGCTCAGAAGCCCAGCAGAAAGCCGACAATGGTGATCCCAAGGCCAACCTTGAAGACAGAATCTGGAGAAAACCTCAGATGCTAAAGTTCTCCCATCGACAGGTGGCTGAACTTTATTGCCGAGTTAAGCCAAATTGGTCCCTGGTGGATTGTGTTTCTGGAACTCCATTGAGGTAATTTTGCGCGTAGAAACAAGATCTGCTCCAAGTCCAAATGTTCAGTTGGATATTGGATTGGCAAGAATGCGGCTGCAACACCTCAGTCTGGCCAAGCACAAACTGTACCAATAAGTCTCAAAGCAAACCAAAGCTTGTTTAGCCAGAAAGTCATAGAATCATCTCATGATCAAACTTCGAGAAGCATGCGTTCGACGCTTCAAAAGGGAACATCGGCTTTGGATGGCTTTGGCGAAGTCAATGAAAAGTTGCACTTTCAAGCCCCGGCACATGCACCTTGAGCTGGGAGAAAGGAGTCTCCAGCTTTGTCTGGAAACGGTTTGGCGGCTTTTTTTCCGCTCTTTGAGGCTTTGTTCGTCTTGACCTTCTTGGATCCCTTGCCTCTGCCCTTGGATTTTTGAGCAGTGGTTGCCATATCAAACAGGCTCGCCTGCAACAGCAGCGCTGCTGTGACAATTTCAATCAAATACTGGGTGCTCCAGAAAATGTCTATCTCCAATCTATAGACCAGATCTCCCATTTTCCTCTTCCCTACTTGACTCTGATCGGTCCTTAAGCTTCCAAACACACAACACTGACACCAGCCGGCACAACAAAACAGTACGCAATGAAGAGAGAGCCATCAATTTCTCTGGCACCTGCTCTTTCTTCGGAGCTGCAAAGGAGACATCTTGGCCCAGTCGCGCACCAGGCCACCACAACAACGCAGCACCTAACGCGGCCAAAACCAGGCGGCGGCGACAAGCAGCTCGCGCCATGGTCCCAAGGCTAAAAAAAATAAAGGACACTGAGGACCTGAAGTGCTCCCAAACAGTTAAGCAAATAGAATGGTGATGATTGGAAATACATGCGCCAAACTCCACAAGCACATACAAGCACGGGTTTTATACAGTCAAGGGATGTCAAACGGGATGTTTTACATTGTGCATTTGGATCTCAATCTCAAGCAGGTAGTCTGAGCTTTGCGATTCAAATGCTGCTTGGTGGACCCATGCAATTTGACACCTTTAGAAAACATGTCGTGGCGACATCATATCATGTAACACAGAACAAAGATATGTGTGCTCGCTGGCCATGCCTCTGCATCAACATTCGGACACACTGACAAGTAATTGAGACCGTTATAGACTTATAGGAATTGCATTGCACCAGTGGCACCAGACTTCGTTGGCACGTTGAGTTCCGCTCCTATTTTTTTCGCATGTTACGACTTGGCAGTGCTGGCAGATCCACCCAGAAGGGTGGCAATGTCGCCAAAGACCTGAGACAAAGGAGCTGGTAAACCCAATAAGCTCAAACCCACCCATTTCTGGTGAAATTCGGCATGGTCTTATTCTTGGGTTTAGCCTCCATTAAACTTACATAGCTATGGAAAATGTACTATTTATATTTTCAGAAATGGTGATGTTCCATAATCATGTTACAAATTACCAAATGGTAACCACATTAATGTGGTAAACCCAATAGGAAACCATCCCATCAACCACCTTTTTGGGTCATTTTATATCCTCCCAACTGGTCTACCACACATCCTAAGCTCCCAGACCGACGCACCCATCTCCGCTGGCCGGTCTTGTGCACGACACTGTGCCCGTCGCTCGGCCACGGCCAGGGCAGTTTCGCCCAAGTGGTCCGACAAAGTTCGGTCAGCGCCTGACACAGCAGAAATCCCAAATGAATCCCAAGGGTCAGATCATCGACAGTTGCATATTCGAAGGAAGTTTAGAAGTCAAACTTCCGACAATATGGACAGATGGAAAAGCAGAGGTGGGAAGAGTCAGCGAAGAGAAGAGAAGAAGAGATAAGATCAGAGAAGAGAAAGAGTCAGAAAAAAGAAGATGCAGGTGCGCGAAAAGGTAGAAAAGTCGCTTCGGAGGGTCAGAGGGTCGACAAGCATTTCTGGCTCCAGAGGGTCGACAAGTAGGCTCGCTAAACTACCACCACCACTCCTACTACAACTACAACTACAACTGCACTACAGTACACTACACTACACTAATTACACTACACTACGCTACACTACACTACACTCCACATCACTACACTACACTACACTAATTACACTACACCACACTACACCACACCACGCCCCACCACGCCACACCACACCACACTACACTAACTACAGCTACAGCTACAACTACAACTAGGCTACGTTACATTACACTACACTACACACATTACATTACACTCCACTCATTACACTACCACAAATTAAACTGCAACTACACTACACTAATTACACTACTTACACCACAACTACCACTCCACTACACTACAACTACAACTACAGCTGCACTACACCACACTACATCCAGCAGTTGTGGGTGAGGTGACCGACCAGGTGACCACTGCAACCATTGTAACCACTCCAAAAAACACAATTCCGACCACCTCTCAGTCCATCAGTGGATTCGCTCTGCCATCCGTGATTCACAACAACCAACCTCTCCTATAGGTTTCCTATTTTTGAACTTCCGCCACCGCCTTGCGCGGTACTACTGGTATAATACAATAATCACAATTAATTCCAGGCTGGGTTATAATTTATCATATCCCGGATATTTTGATGGCAACTGGAGCGATCTTTCTAGCGACAAAAATCACAGGTGATAACGCATCACCAATTCTACCTAGCCCCAGCCCTTCACTTGCAAGTTGCTGACAGCTCATTCAGCATGTGACGCTTGCACAACTTTCCCACTGAAGGCCTTCATGCAGAAGCTTCACGACCATCGACCTGCAGCACACTGCAGAAATTGTGGGAAGAAATGAGCAGTCAAAAAAGTATTGCCGAACATTCCCTGCCTGTGGCCATTGACAACAGCCCAATGCAACGGGGTGCGGCCCCATGAGTCTCTGACCTTAGCCCAAAACCAAGAGACATTCTGAGACTGCATCTCTTGCAGCTTCGCATTTTGCATGTCAAGAGGAAAAGTAACCCAAACACCACCAAGGAACCTAATGTGAACCACTGCGTGTATTGTCAGTAGACCCCCATCTTCACACCACTGGGCTCCTGACATCCACCTTCAGCGCTGGTGATGCAGATGGTCCACCTTTGCCCTTGCCTTTCCTCGTGGATGCAGGCTGCAAAAGCTCATCCACCATGGCTCCAGACGCACCAGAGCGAGCAGCAAAGTGCAGAGCTGTCTGCTTGTCGTGAGTCGTGGCATCCAACTTCGCACGGGCAGATAGCAACAGCTGCAGGACCTCCCAAAGGATGCAACGGGCTGCAGCTGGTCCCCGTATCTTGCTGATCTCGCATGAGGAGGGTTTGTCTCAGCTCTCTTGATCTGTCTTCCAAACTTTCAGAGGAGATGTACTGCGATACAACATACAAGTACTGTACCTTCATTGCTTCGGCAGTTCCCCGCCTCCACGGATCCCTGTGCAGCCAAATGCAAGGGCTGCACACCCTTTCCGTCTGAAGAAATGGGCGATACTCGCGCTTCCAGCAGCAGCTTTGCCACTTCAACTTGACCATTCATGCACGCGGCATGAAGGGGAGTCCTTGTCCCAAGTTCGCCCAGAGTTGCAGGAGTCTGTGACCCTTGTGCCTTCAGGAAGCATTGGACTACACCAATGGCACCTAAGCCAGCTGCATGTTGCAGGATCTCAACATCCGTGGACAGCTCTTCGCAGATCTCAGGATCGTCCATCTCATCTTGAGAAACGTCCTGCATGCAGGAGCTGAGACTGGTCATGAAGTGAATAGATTGCATATGTGCAGTCATAGCAATCATAATTACATGTGTGTTTGAGACTCCTCCGCGAACTTGCAGTGCCTTCACTTGCAGAAAGTATTTATTACCTTTTATTGCTAAATATGTGAGCTATCAAAGCTTCTCCAGGGCGACGCAAACCTTGTCAGCCACCTCTTGCTCCGCAAGCAGGGCACCCAGGGATGCTTGGGATCTCTGCAAATGCTGAAGGAAATCCGCCAAACAGGGCCTGTTGAGCAAATGAACTGGAAGCCTCGGATTCCAAACAATACCAGGTCCAACCAAGCATTCCATTGATCCAAATGGATCCAAATGGCACAAATATCAAAATGGCATCATTTCCGGACACTTCTGAGAAGTCGATGTGTTTTCACTTCTTTTGACTCGTCTCAAAATTTAAAGCAGTTGAACCAGGGCTCAGTGGCTCTGGGAGCTCTTCCCCAAAATTGCCAGTCTTTGCTCCACACCTGAAGGGTGCCGTGAAAAACAAAGAGGCAGTCCCGCCAAAAAGATTCATCCCAAACTATCCCAAACAGACATGCAACATCAAAACGGATAAGAGCAGCTAGGCCCAGCTAGGCTTTAGTTGCACCAGTGACACCTCTCAACACTTCAAGGCGACTGCTCACTATTTGATCCGCCCCTCCCAAGAGCAGTTGCTGTTTGAAGTGTCAGGAGTTCAACTGCTTCTTGAGGGTTGTCAAAAGCGAAATCAACAGCCACGGCAAATCACCGGACCTCGTGGCAAGAAGTTGACACACCCGTAGAGCCGCCATGGAGTCACCTCCCAGTGCCAGAAAATTGGAACGATTGGTCTTCACCGCCACGCCCAGCACCTGTGGGGATACAGGCTCCACCGTCAAAAATGCTGTGATGTTGTTGAGTTGTTGGTGTTCCACAAAAACAAAAACAAGAATTCAAGTAAAGTTTAAAAAGTACAGGATAAATAAGTACATGAGAGATCATTCAGACTGGACCAGGGTGTGGTGTGAGGTTGTAGCCTGTTGCAGGGACTCCGGTTGAACCCTCTAGTCTCATCAGATTTCCCAAGCCTCGCGCCAGGCGGATGCTACAATCTCAGCGGCTCCCGTGCAAACAGCTGGTGCCAGGGCAACGTTTTCCAAGGGCAGAGGAAGTTGTGCCAACTGACGGCGCGACACCTCCAGCCGAAGTTTTGGGCAAACTTGGGCCTTGGACATCCTTAGACCTCAAGAGAAACAAGAGAATCTGTATATGGGGATCGGGATAGATGGGGTCACCAGCATATCACTGGTCTTAGATGTTTGTGTGCACTTGGATGCACAAGCCAGGGTTCATGTCTGCGCCGTATCGTTGCCTTAAACGTATCGTTCTCCATTTATTTTTGGTGCTGTGTCCTGTTCTGAGAAGGTTGCAACCTGACCTTGTCACCTTGTCATGCGACGTAGCTTTGTTTTTAACTCTTTCATGGACAATTGACAACAAGTGATACTCTTTTCTGGTTTGTTCTCACCGCCTTTGTGTGTCAAACATCGTCCAAAAGGGCATCCAAAGCCTTCAGCAAGTCCCATGAACGCTAGTGCGCAAAAAGAAATCAGAGGTGCAACATTATACATATTATCAAATATGGTTTTCTTCATTCAAAGATATCAAAAGGACAAGACACTAAGTTAGACTTTTGCCTGTATGCTGTATGCTCAAGTAGTTGAGAGACCATGCGCTCAAAGTCATCTCTTTGAAGCTGTGGCAGTCAAGTCTGAGACGGCCAACACCTGCATACACGAATTATGAACATTAATACTAGTTTGGTCAATTGTCTAGAAGAGTTAAAACAAAGCTACTTGCAAATTCCACAGAAATCTACTCAGGTTACCTTCCCATCATTGTCCAATATATGCTAAATACCACTGGAGAGTAACCATTGAATCTACCCCAAGCCACCTTCCCACTTGAGGTCAGGGGTAGCTCATCAATTGCCAGCACACGTGCCGGAACCATGTGCTGCGGCAGCCGCTCTTCACATTGACGCCGCAAGAAACTGCAAGTGACTTTCTGCACCGCTTCGCTCAAATCTCCTGCAGCGTTAAGTAACCACAAACTGTAGATATGCCAGTACATGCCAGTCACTGCCAGTCTGCACATTTCACTTCGAACGGACAAGGTTTCATGATCTACCTCACCCCCTCGAGTCAAATCCACTTTTTGCGCTATGGCATAAGCAGCACTACCTTGAGTCATTTGCCTGATGAGAGTTTACCGGACAACTGTCTCGTTCGTCTGTCAGCAAGTCCAACTTGGTCACATGCTGATCGCCTACCTGATCACATTCCGGATGCCCAAAAGATCCAAAACCATTGATTTTGGCCATTCATCTCACAGCGTTCTGCACAGGGCACATCTTAAGAGCTCTCCTCGCAAGACGCAGTACAGCAGCAACAATTTCTCTGCCAGCACTGCCGCAGCTGACACCAGGACATCCGGCCTTGTCAAGGCCCCGTCACGTCCAACTCAAGGCTCAACAAGTCTGTGGATGACAGAGGTCAGATGCAATGTTGCCATGAGGAAAAAATGACGGATTATGTAACTGATTACATGAACTGTCAGTAAATGCAAGGTGTTTGTTTACATGGCCATCCTACCGAAAAGCAACATCAAGCATCT